AAAATGTAAAAGCCTACTTATTTTATGTTTGGATTGATGATGTAAAGTAAATGTATTAAATCAAATTCATATTGAGTAAGCCAATTAAAATTCCTATATTTATTATATATTCTATTTTGTGTATTGCTAGTACCCTGAATTCAGAAATGAATTTTTCTTTCATTAACATATCAGATGCTTCTTAGGCTGACTCAGCTCTGTACATTTTAGAACAGCTTCAAAAATTTTAGTTTACAAAGTTGAGAAGTTAGATTTAAGTTAAAAGAGTAACCATTCATTAAAGACATGGTGATATTTTACCAGATGAATGATATAGTCTGCACATTGTGTTTTAGCACTATCTTCTGTTAGGGAAGGGGGAGCTTCCTAACCAGGGTGACCATTCATCCAGATTTACCTGGTAACCACCTGGTTTATGACTGCTGTCCCAGGTTATTGATAGTGCTACCTTTCACTTTCACTGTGTCCTAGTTTGGGTGACAACTTACATGATCACCCTATTCATAGAAAACACTTGAAAAGGCCTGTGGACTGAGATCCCCACCCACAGCCTTAGCAGGGGATTCCTCTTGATTGTTCATGAGAGACACAAATGCAACTGTTAGAGATTTCCTGGTGCCTCCTGGTGCCTCCAGGGCCAAGGGTTTGTGGGGGTCCTGAGGATGTATCTTTAAAAAGTTCCTGTCATTTCTAAAGACCCCCTTTTCCCCTTTGTTATCAAATTTCTGGGGCTTCTCAGTTTAGGAAGATCCTTAGTATCTGCTGAAGAAGGTATTTTTACTGAAGGATTATTTCCATCAATTGTGCTGTTTTCTCCCTTTCCTGCTCTTCCATCAGGTCTTTTCTCAAGAAACCTGAATGAGATACAATTAGCTTTACCAAATCAGTGGCCACAGGAGGTTCTGCCAGCACAGGAGTCTCAGATGTTATCCCAGTGCAACTAGGCAAGAGCTGTATATGAATCTTCAAATTTATGAACCTGGAAGAGATATTGTAGTAATTGACTGGCTTATATACACTAGTCCCCCCTTATCCATGGTTTCACTCTCCTTGGATTCAGTTACCTGCAGTGAACCACAGTTCAGAAGCAAATGATCCTCCTTTTGACTTATTCTCAGAAAGCCAGTAGAAGTCTAGCTCTACATCACACGTACATCACTCACCTCACTTCATCCCATCACGTAGGCATTTTACCATCTGATGTCATCACAAGAAGGGTGAGTACAGTACAAAAAGGTATTTTGAAGAGAGGCCACATTCAGATAGCTTTTATTACAGACTGTTGTTTTAATTGTTCTATTTTATTACTAGTTAATGTTGTTAATCTCTTATGCTTAATTTGTGAGTTGAACCTTATCATAGGTATATATGTATAGCAAAAGACATAGTACATATATATGTACATATGTGTGTGTGTGTGTATATATATAGTTCTGTTCTATCCATGGTTTCAGGTTTCCACTGAGGGTCTTGGATAAGGGGACTATTGTATTTTGGGTACTTCATGTTCTCATATTCACTAAAAACATGATTGTAAAGGCTACATAGTACTCTTACTACATGTATGTGAGAAAACATACATAAATACTGTCTTACATTGTTAATGTTGGGAAAATTAACAGGAATGTTATTATTGTGTTGAAAGATATGAACATTTATAAGACGCATGACATATTGTCAAATGTCCAACAGAGAGTTTGTTGGCTCACATTCCCACTAGTAGTATCAAACGGGTTCTCTTCCAGTGCACCCTCTTGTGCCACTATCATTAACTGTGTCACTTTAGACATACCATTAACATTCTCTGAAATTTCTATTGTTTGTGAAATGAAATATATACCACTTACCACCATGCAGTCATTATGAGCATGAAATAATGTAGTATAGTAATAGGTCATAACCCTCAGCCCTTTCTACTCTATGTCCCTTCTGCTTCAGAGACCTGATCTATTTCAATGGTTTCACACACCACCTTTTGCACTCTGCTGATGACTCCCAAGTCTCTCATTGGAATTCTTCTCTGATAACTTGAAATAGCTCTCTGGGTATGTTTTCTCTTATGTCTCATGGTCACATGTAACTCTAACACCCAACCGCTTCATCAGGTCTTCATTCCATTTTTGCTTTTTTTTTCCTTCTTTAATCTAGATACTTAATGGTTTGTATTATCTACTCAAAATCACCCATAAACAGTTGCTTCCTCATTAACAATGCTAACTGAGAGGCACATAGTTGCTGCTTTAAAGTCAAATCCAAAAGTAGAGATGTCAAAACATTAATTTAGTTTTGGAAAGTTCAGGGATTTTGTTTTGTTTGTTTGTTTGTTTATCTTTGTTTTTTCACACTGGGTTTCTTTTCAATTGTTTTTGAAGCAATTGTTTTCAAACTGTTTTTGAATAACAGTTAAATTCCCAGTAGGTAATGCAAACTATAAAGCCATCTTTAATGCATTGTCAGAATATACCTAATTCATATTCCTTTACATACTCTATTTCTGATTTATCTGTCAAAATGTCTCATATATTCTTGTAGAATCCCTTTGTCACTGTGTTGTACAGGGCTTCACAACTCTTGTTTGGATGTGGCTGCACTTTCCTAGCAAGCAACCATAATTCATTCCATTACCATTTATTTTTCACTTCCACTTACTTATTCATTGCTATAAAAAAATAGAATATATTATTTCATCCTTCTGATAAAATAAAACTGCAAGACATAAGTAAGATTAAGTAGAATAATTTGGGATTATATATAGAGATTTTTTTTCCAGAAAAATCTAAGATATGTGTAACTTTTAGATCTAAGAATATTTCTCCTTTCTATTTTAGTTAAGGAATCCAAACTCTGTTAACCCTAAATAAAGGCCTCTTGCCATCCAGTCATTTCCCCACTGCTCAAATATTATAGTCATTGATTAAATATGGCATCTGTAAAGACATTTGGAAGGTGACCTATCACCCCACCTTATCAATTTCTCTATACCACCCTTGGATAAATTTAGAATGTGTTTATTTCATTGTCTGTATTGCTGTTTCACACCTTGTGTTTTTAAAAAGTTAACATTTTCATGAGATATCTATGCTTATCTTTAAGTTGCATATACATGTAAAATATTGTCTCTTTACCATTATGGAAATAGATATTTGATTAAAATACAGAAGACCCTTGAGGAGTTTGCCTAGCTTTTTCAATCCCTTAGATGAAAGATTGTTAAGTGAAAAATCATAAAATGTAGAGCTTTGGAAATATAAGACTTTTTTATTATGAAATAAAGTAAACTTACAACAAACATTTAGATGGGGGAAGGAAACCTATGGAAATGGAACAAGTAGACATCCTCTTAACAACCCAGCTTGATAACAAAGTTCAGTATTTAATCTAGATACTTAATGGTTCGTATTATCTGCTCAAAATCACCCATAAACAGTTGCTTCCTCATTAATAATGCTAACTGTGAGGCACATAGTTGCTGCTTAAAAGTCAAATCCAAAAGTTGAGATGTCAAAACATTTACTTAGTTTTGGAAAGTTCAGGGATTTTGTTTGTTTATCTTTGTTTTTTCACACTGGGTTTCTTTTCAATTGTTTTTGAAGCAGTGTGTTTGGAAGTACCTCACCCAGAATCTGGGGAGAATGAGAATCCATTAATTGTAGAGCTGAATGTTTAGCCTAACTTTAGCTACTAACAAAATCAGGTTCTTCCTCTATATTTCTGTCTCCTAATGAAAGCAATTCAGTCGGAGATTCAACAAGGCAATAAAAATACTGAATGTGAATAATCCTCATGGTGAATAACTGGTGTGTGGTGAATTAACAAGCAGCAGTTAATTAAGAGGCTACTTGCTCTTGCCTTGAACAAGGACCCCTCTGATCTTGGCTAAGTGGTAATTCTCCCCTTTAGTTTCTGTGTTTGTGAAATAAGAAGACTGGACAGAACTCTTTCATCCGGGATTCATTCCAGCTCTGGTGCTCTGATGACACATGTTCCCTCCAACCTGGGGCTCAGGTCAGGGAAACTTTCAGTGGGCCGAGGTGCCTCCCGGACCAGCATGGCCACTGTCTTGTTAGTACTTTGAGTTAAACTTGGAGGTTCTTTATTTTCCTAGCCGCATGCTATGACACACAAGTTAAAAACAGTGTTTGAACCATAGAGCAGCAATAACTAAACGGCTCCTTCAGTGACAAAATATTACCTATGTGGGCATGCTGGTCAAAGGAACGGTGTTTGTAAAGGGAGCATCTTTTGAGTGCTCCTCACAGTTATGTAGCGTTCCTGTTGAATAGCTAGGAAGGAACACAGAGCCTGGGGTCAGCTGGGGTTAAAGCACTAGCATTCTGGATCTGCTCATGGAACAGCCAGGTGGATGAATGATTAACCCACTGAGTAAACTGTTCAGCAAGTGGGACTGAGAGGCTTGGTGATGTGGGGCTGGGTGCAGCAGGTATGTGCAAGCAGAGGGAAATGCTGAAAACAGGGCTGGTTTTCAAGCCATAACCAGAGAAATATATATGTATAAATATGTCTGAACACACACACACATGAGTTGAGTTGACTTGTTTTGTGGTTATACCTGCAAATTTTTTGCTATTTGATTTAGACTATTATTCTATTTCAAAGACATGCATATATATATACAAATACAAATATGTTTTAATGATATGCACATTTAAATCAACACTAACAAATGGATTCAGTTGAAAAATCTCTGAAAGAAAAACCTTGTCTAAGAAGAGAATAAATGCAGGAAGGATGCGAGCCAAAAGTCTTATCTCCTTGGTGTTTGATTTCTGGAGGGACTGAGGAAGCTGGCTGTACTGGAGCTGCAAAGACTAGACTGGGGAAGTCAGCACAGAGTTAGACGAATGAGAAAGGGGTTCATACCGCCCTGCGGCGTTCTCCCTCCCCCCCCTCCAACTGTTGTGACCGCACCTGGGGCATGTGACCGGCGGCGGGCACTGAAGGCAGCCGCAGCCACAGCGCGGTGACGAGGCAGCTGCAGCTCTGCCAGCTCCCGCCCAGCTCTCATTGAGAAAAGGGGACACGCAGCAGGACGCGGGGGAGGAGAGTGCCCTGCAGACTGCCTCCTCCACCGATCCCAGATCCCAGGATGGCCACTCGACTCTTCTGACGTGGCAATTACCTCGGGAGTTTGGAGACAGAAGGGAAAAGGGAGAAGCCTGCAGAGAGCATCAAAGGATGGGGGTGCTATAAAAGGAACAGGGGAGTCCTTTGAAAAGACTATCATGCACTGAAATGCTTTTCTGGAGAAGGTGCCATTCTTTGCCTCCCCTTTTGCTCAGATGAAAGGAGCCGGCAAGGTCGGTCCTGAAGTATTCCCAGGGGGCCTTCCTGTGATTGTTCCTCTGTCCCCTTGCACACCGCTATTTGCTGACCTTTCCAGAGGAATCTCAGCCTCCCCAGTTCCAGCTGAGAAGACAGTTCTTAATAAAAAAAAACAATTTCTGCTGTTTGAATGGGAAGTGCAGCTTGCTTGCTGCGGTTCTTTTTTGCTGTGACATTTCGGAATGTCTGCAGAAACTTAAAAACAAAAACAAAAACCTTAAAAACTCCCCGGATTAGGCAACAGAAAAGGAACTTTTGCCAAAAAGAAGCAAATGAGAGGTGGTAACTTATCTTTGACCCAGGACCTGGATGATAAAAACCTTCAAGTTATAGGAATCAGCACTTCAAACCTAACAATTAAGCAAACATGAGGAGTGTCTGTGGGGTTTTGAGCAAAGGCAGGTTTTAAAGGAAGCCTGGAACTGGTTCAGAACTTCCGGCCTTTATGATGCCTGAAGATCGACATGCTGGGGGCCGCCCCTCAGGTGCCTTAGCAGCAACTCCTTTCATTCCCAAAACTACATACAGAAGAATCAAACGCTGTTTTAGTTTTCGGAAAGGTAGGTAGATGATACATTAATGTCCTTTTAAAAAATATTATCTGATGCTTTAAGGTCAGTCTGTGTTCAGACAAAATGGGATTCTGGAAACCCAGAGCTTAGAACTGGGCAAGAGTGGTGCACATGTGTCTTTGCTTGTCTCTGCTTATTTTTCAAGGTTCATATTGGTTTGTTTATGACTGTCTGTAAATGGGCTGGGTAGGTGGGGCTCAAAGGATGGCAGTCCCCTATGGATCCCCTTGACTGATGCAGAACTGAGCAGGCTGGCCTCTACATCCTGGGAGGAGGGGCTGAGACTACCTGGGCCCTCCCAGACCCAACTCAAGCAGCCATGTTGCTGTCTCTTGAAATGTGTCCCTCTCCATCCTTGCTCTGCGCTGCCGTCAAATTGGTTTGGTTCTGACTGCCTGCACTTGTTTCACCAACCTGTTGAGAAGATTTGAATAATATGGTTTCTGTAGTGCCCCCTTTTCAGGAGGTTTTCAACCATACTGGTTAACACTGATTAAGAATTGCCCTCCTTAATACATCATAAGGTGACATTGGGAGAGTCCAAAAATGAGAACCTTCAGAAACAAGAGGTGGGAAAAAAATAATTCATGATCAGTAAAAGAAATGAAGTATTTTGGAAGTTGATTTCATGGAGAGTGCATCAAAGGGTAGAGCAAGGGTAAAATAAAATGTTTTTAGAAAACATTTATGTATCAAAGTATTTGAAAATGTCCTTTTGCTTTAAAATGGGGATAATTAAGTGGACTGATTATTTAAATTGAAACTAGGAAAGTGTAATTTTAATGACATGTACAGTCCGCTAATAATCTAATCGGGAGTTGATTTGAGTAACACTCAAGGTCATTCCTTCTCCCTTTTTTCTTTGATCTGCCACCTTCTCAGCTTTGTAACCAACAACAACAAAAAAGTAGAAGAAAACAAACCAAGAAAAACCACATATATAAAGCAAAATACAGTGGGAACTTTTTAAAAGTAAACCTTGTTCCTTCTTTGCCTTTCTCTTTGAACAGTTAAGATTCTTTGCCTTTTTCTTTGAACAGTAAAGATGTATGATCATTATCCTACATTATGAGCAAGGAATTCAGGTGTTAATTTATATTCCTCTCTCATCCACAAAGATAATTAAATGAGAGATGCATGTCTCATATTCTATAGATCCATAGAGATTTCATGGTGACTGCACCAGTGCGTCATTGATAGGGAAATTAACAATGGTAGAAATTTAAAAAGGCCTGGGACTACCTACTTACAGGACGCTTCCTCTGCCACTTCTCCTACCCCTCAGCAACCAAATTGGGTTTATCCAAATATATAGAAGACTTCTTCGGGGAGTTAGTGCTGTTTATTTGTAACAGGAGATGTCCTGGGGACAGTTAATGTGTCTTTGAAACACACAGTAAGGCATATTTCGCCTTCTCAGTCAGTAGTGCTCCAGCACTGGAGTGCAGCATGTCTGCAAAAATCCTGGCTCACACTGCTGTTCGGTACTCCTTCCTCCTTAAATACCAAGGACAGGAGCCAGTGCCAGCGAAGAAAACCCCCATGGGCAGGCAAATAGCAATTTTCAACCATACTGGTTAACACTGATTAAGAATTGCCCTCCTTAATACATCATAAGGTGACATTGGGAGAGTCCAAAAATGAGAACCTTCAGAAACAAGAGGTGGGAAAAAAATAATTCATGATCAGTAAAAGAAATGAAGTATTTTGGAAGTTGATTTCATGGAGAGTGCATCAAAGGGTAGAGCAAGGGTAAAATAAAATGTTTTTAGAAAACATTTATGTATCAAAGTATTTGAAAATGTCCTTTTGCTTTAAAATGGGGATAATTAAGTGGACTGATTATTTAAATTGAAACTAGGAAAGTGTAATTTTAATGACATGTACAGTCCGCTAATAATCTAATCGGGAGTTGATTTGAGTAACACTCAAGGTCATTCCTTCTCCCTTTTTTCTTTGATCTGCCACCTTCTCAGCTTTGTAACCAACAACAACAAAAAAGTAGAAGAAAACAAACCAAGAAAAACCACATATATAAAGCAAAATACAGTGGGAACTTTTTAAAAGTAAACCTTGTTCCTTCTTTGCCTTTCTCTTTGAACAGTTAAGATTCTTTGCCTTTTTCTTTGAACAGTAAAGATGTATGATCATTATCCTACATTATGAGCAAGGAATTCAGGTGTTAATTTATATTCCTCTCTCATCCACAAAGATAATTAAATGAGAGATGCATGTCTCATATTCTATAGATCCATAGAGATTTCATGGTGACTGCACCAGTGCGTCATTGATAGGGAAATTAACAATGGTAGAAATTTAAAAAGGCCTGGGACTACCTACTTACAGGACGCTTCCTCTGCCACTTCTCCTACCCCTCAGCAACCAAATTGGGTTTATCCAAATATATAGAAGACTTCTTCGGGGAGTTAGTGCTGTTTATTTGTAACAGGAGATGTCCTGGGGACAGTTAATGTGTCTTTGAAACACACAGTAAGGCATATTTCGCCTTCTCAGTCAGTAGTGCTCCAGCACTGGAGTGCAGCATGTCTGCAAAAATCCTGGCTCACACTGCTGTTCGGTACTCCTTCCTCCTTAAATACCAAGGACAGGAGCCAGTGCCAGCGAAGAAAACCCCCATGGGCAGGCAAATAGCAACCTCAGGAGTGGGAACGGCTTCTAGCTATCATCTCCTGTTGGCTATTTTTAAGCTATTGTCCTTTTATTATGCAAAGTCTTAGGAATCTGAGGAGTGTTCAGCATTTGAGTACAGTCAAGAATTAACCGATTTTTACTTTACGAAGCTGTATTCTGGTCTCTGTCAGAATCAAAAGGGAGAGAGGGTACAGCAAGCATTAAGCCGCGTTAAGTTTCCTCTCGCGTCCTCCAGAGCCAGCCGCACACCAGCTCCCTCCGCTCCCGGCTGCACCCGCAGGGTCACCGGCTCGCCTCCGGGCTCTGGGAAACAGGGTGCGCCGCTTCTCCCCAGCTGTTTCTGCGCAGCACTAGCTATTCTTGCCAGCGGTAGAGTGAACCTCAGGAGGTTGGCATCTTTATTTAAGCTCCTGCACTGAAAAGGATAAACTTTCTTTTAAGTGTAAGGGTTCCCAACCATGCTCCCTTAAAAAGAGTGCTTTTGGTGCTTTGTTTAATCTCCTGGGTGCTCCAGTAGTTGAAGAAGTAGCCCCGGGTTTCTGGGTTTCTCTCCCAAGGTTGTTGGGAGAACATCAGCTGAAGCCATTTCAATTAAAGCAAAAGGGAGGGCTGTGGATCATGGAAAAGTGCCCAGAAGTTAAAAAGGTTGACGTGTCTGCTTTTCCTGATTCACACTGAAAACATATTTTTTACTGTTGCCAAGGATAAGCCCACAGAAGAGGAGACTCACTGCTTTAGTAACGCCCCCAGAACCAAGCCTGGAGTTGAGTTAGAGTTTCCAGAGGCCTGGTGGTATTGGCACTTGGGGCTATGCAAGCCTTAACTAGCTCGGCCAGTCCTTCCAGATTCACGCTGTCCTTTACAGCCCTTTTCATCTCACAATTTCTTTAAGTACTAATAAAGGTCATTGAAAATGTTTTCCCAGTGGTTTTAAAAATCTAGGAACTAGGAGACCCCTATTAGGCAGGAAGCTGAGAATAGCAGTGTTGTGATTTATGTTCTACTGAGATACAGATTACAATGTGTTTTTTATGCTGTTGATTTTGGAACTGTAGTTGTTTTTACCTCTATAAGATTAATATCTAATATACAAGCACAACCAATCTTGTGATTACTTGGGGGTGCATAATTAATTTTTAAACCCTATGTTTTTTTCCTGAGTTGCCCTCTTCCTTGGGGATAAGTCATCATTAATTTCCCTGTGATTTTTTTTCCCCCTACTCTGTCACGCACCATTGCTTCTTCCTACTTTATATACTTTCAGCTCCATTTCTGTTTCCATCACCTTAGTTCTCAGTGCCTTTGTATCTTCATGCACACAACTTACTTCAAAGTAAGACAGCATCCATCCTCACCACTTTGCCACCCACACTGTTCTTCACAAATTCTTACAACACACACTCCATTTGTGAAGTATTGCTCAATTGGTATTCCTGAAATGGTATGGTCAAGCACAGCTCAAAAAATTTTTACGAGTCCCTGATACACCCAGGAGAAAGTCCTAACTGTTCCATGTAATTATCAAGGCCTTCTAATCAATTCCAACTATTCCCCAGAGAATTAACTCCCAATTCCCTCAACTGGTCAACTCTATCTCCCTAAACACACCTCCTACACCACCTCTTTGCTTTTGTTCTCTGGGTCTCCTTTGCTATAATGCTCTGTCTCTTCTGGTGTCTGTCCAGACTTTACAGTTTCTTCAAAGCGTCATCTCTCATTTCATTGTCAAGCCTTCTCTGTTCACTGCTGTGCTCTTTACTTAATAACCTTTAAATTTCTTACATGCTGCCACCTTATACCTGGTCATCTTATCTTCATAGCCATCTTAAAGTGCTTTACGTGCATTTGTGGTAAAAACAAACAATAACAACTATGTATTTGTTTATTTCTTCCCAAAGTGAAGAATGGCAATAGACCTATTCAATCAAGGATTCAAGGTTTATTGCAAGCTAGTATAGTATCTTTTCCTGCTGGTCCATAGCATAGCCTTATAGCTGTGATGGATAAAACCAACATTTTCTTTAAAGTTTATTGCATGCTGTATGCATTGTAATCACATGTGGAAAACGATTTGTCTAACAGAATGCTGCTATCCAAATCCATACAATTTTAAATGGTGCTATAAAAGAATAGTTCATTAACTCATATACCTAAGTTCTACAGAGCAACTATCAAGTAGTTCTGGGAATGAAAAAGTATCCAAAACAGGTTGCCTCCAATATGTGAGTTTGCAGACTTCATGAAGATAAGAAAACATCGATGAATACTTACTTGCACTGGTAAGTATGAAGTCTGAGAAGCTCATCAACAAAAGACTGGCCAGGGCTCATCTGGAA